GGGAAGAGAAAGTCCGAAAAGTCAGTTTTTTTCAAAGGATCCCGGAAGAACGGCGATTGCAAGTCCCGGAACCGGTTCGCCAGCTGAGTCCGGGGAAGAGCTGAGCAAGTCGCCCCCAATCCCCGGTACCTGATGAATTGGTCGACTAATTCTGTGAGCTGTCGAGCTGTCTCCATAATCTCCTGGATTGGATAGTTGTGTAATAGCGTAAGTAGCCCCTGCTTATCCCTGTTAGTACAGCTCCTTATCCGTTTGAGCTGTCGGAGTTGGTTGTACTGTGCAAGGCCTAGGTCGGTCAGCTTCCGGACGCAGTCAGCTGTGTTTTCGTCCGCGAGTGTGAATTCTTGTGTGATGTGCGCATTGGGTATGTTCTCCATTGGAAATCCTTGCCCGTTATTGAGCATGATGTTCGCATCCTCATAAGGCTGTTTCGCACTGCTAATTAGAGGCAGCATCACATCAAGTTTAAAGTGGGACCCGCTTAGATGGAGATCCTCAAACGCTCCGCTCTCGTCTGCTAGGATATCCATGCTTGACCCACGAGTGGATATATCTTGATAAGGCATCGGGCTGGGTGGATGTGGGGATTTCGGAGATGGCCAGGCGTTCGCAATATGCGAGTTACTCTGTGATTCTTTGCTCGGTGTGCTTGCGATCGTACTTGTTGTGGGCTTTGCTGCTATTCCTGTACCAGAATGTGACCTCGCTGGGCGTCCCAGACGATTCGGTGGACTATAGATGCACTGAACAGCAGCACGACGGCAACGTTCACATTTACTGCCGGGTTCTGTGGACTCTGACCGTAAACACCGTAGCTTGTGTGCATGACACCTGTCACAAGCCATCCGCAGGCGCGTTGTTTCTGGAGGGTATGACGTCTGCATGGCCTTGCGTTTCTGTGTCTGCACGCCGCCAGCAACGGCCTTTGAAGGAGGAGTGTCGTCGTCCAACATGCCTTCGGATCAGTATATATCAGGAATGCGGCAGCTCCTGGTAACATATATTGGATATATTGACAGCGAATTCTTCTACCACGACAAGGAAACGATCACTAGAAAAATGGAAGGCAGCGGTAGGTTGAAGGGTCGACACCACATAAGTTCATTTCCCGCAGATAATGATTGATATATAAGGTGAGAAGATTTCCCTTACAGTGTCTGTGAGCCGCTTTATATTCGTATTTCAAGTGCATAAAGAACAGGATATACTATCGTGATGCTTCCTTGCAAATACCAGAAGTAGAAGATGGTAGCGAAAGACCAGATGGCATAAAAAGCACAGCTCAGGGCCGTCAAGGGGAGGCCCAATGTCTCGGTGTTTCCACCCTGCAGGCATAAAGAAGCATGGCTGTATTTCTGGCTGAACCGTGGACTGTGTGATGCCATGCCATGCTTCCGCGGAGAGTCAAATCATCCCTGTCCCTGCGAAAGATGCTGGTAGGACGGGATGCCATGTAGTTATGTACATAGTAATCGTGATAATTCCCTGTTCGATGACAGGGTCCTCTGCAGCCGAGTTCTCGAGGAGCCAGACAGACGTTTGCTCTTTTCTCAATTTCACTGCGAGATTAAATAGTCAGCTAGCCATTTCTTTAGCAACGCCATTTGATTGTCCAAGGCTCTTCAGCATTTGCTATGTTGCTTCAGTTGACTTAGCTCTCGTTTTCCTCCCCATACACTCCAGCAATGACCTGCACTGCTTGATCTTAATCCTTCCCATCCTACTCCCGCTCCTCCTCCTGGACTTCCCCTCTCTTCTCTCTTTTTCTTTTTCTTCTCACTTTCGTATGCGGTGGGTCAGGCTGAAATGCATGAGCAGCCAGCTTCTTCTGGATTTTAGCAGCAACTACAGTGTAAGCAGCATCGTGCAGGGAACTGAGCCTCTCAGGTCGTCTTAAAATATAGGCTCGGATATCGTGCGGAATCCTAGCAGCGGTTCGTATACTTGGCGCTTGACAGTCGGCCGCAGTTACACCGGGGGCAGAGTCAATTTAATATAACACGTATCGAAGCGACCAATCCGGGGACCAGATTGCTAGATTTACGCAGTATCGAAATAGCAATTCCATGTTAAATATGTCAGTGATTGGGGGGTTTCCCCTATAACTCCCCAGAGCTAATGCTCAGTTGACGCGTGGGATGCTCCCCGTATGGTGCCCCTGTTCAAACTTGCAGCCTAGCCCCTGTGTATAAGATCTGAGGGTATGGCGATGATTCTTCGGAAACAGAGGCTGGATGCCTCATGGCAAGGGTAGGAATTCGATCCGCAGTGGATTTTTCCCTTTTCGACACCCGTAAACCCTTACTTAGCTAGCGTCTGTGGCACGTCTAGGTAAGCTTATTGATGTTATGGGGAAATTCCGGACACGAGTTTACTCTGTACGACCGGATAAGCATCCAGACCATTACTTAGGGGTAGCAAAGGCGATTGGGCGCTGAGTCCTGCTCCAAACAGCGATTGTGTATATAAATAGGGGAGGTATGATGGTCCGCACACATTGTGAAATTCCGCTTTATGGAGTGGCATCGGCGGTATAGTTAAAATTGCGTGCAATGTGTTGATCGGGAGGAAATGACATGCCAAGCGGTTAAAGCTGCTCGGATATCATGCAAACAAGATCACAGCGACGCCCAGGATACGCAGGAGCAGAAACAGAAAAGTAATCAGCAGATAGGAATATAGATTGACCAGAAAAGCTTTGAAGTGTGATGACAATGTAGCTGCCACGGCTGATTTTCAGCTGATATCTTTTCAAGACATGGCTGGAGACTCATGTGAGGATTTATTAAACTAACTAGGGGTCAACCAGGCCCCCAATCATGTAGGTTTCTCGGTCACCACTGTGACTTGAAAACTATTTGGCATATAGTTATCTGAGAAATTCCAGAACCTTGCCTTGAGTAACCAACCCCCCCAGGAAATCCCGGGGCAGAGCTCCAACTGGCCATGCTCTAGATATCAAACCTCGTGAAAACAGCTATATTCCTCATATTGTCGTCATCACTCGGAAACTCATATGCCTGGTAAAAGCCTTGCATGAAAGCCTCAACACGAGAAGATACTGGATCCGTTCTACGCAGCGTCAGCATTAGGCCCATAATATATATTCTTAACGAGAACTTACAAGCCATCACCATCGTCAGTAAAAACGTCCCATATTATCACAGCTGGACGAGAAATGTCCGCCACTACCTGCTTGACAGGGGCGTTGGGATATAACGAAACCACCACGGCCGCATCATCAACCTGGAGGAAGCCTTCTAGATCCGCGACAATGGTAATTCCAGCCTCTCCTAAAACCTTGGAGTCGACGCTAGTGTATATAGGATTCTGTGCAAAGCATTGAACCTCGTGGCATCCTTTTTTGTGTCTTTAGGGTACCTTGTAGCGTGCGTAACATTGGATGTTGATACGAGGACCTTTCTCTCGACCTTGCTGCCCAGTAGGCATCTGAGGGACCTTTTCTGTCACCAGAAATTGAGCCGCATGCAAATGCAACAATTTCATTAATTATGAGATTCTGGGGCAGCTTAATATCCTTCAGCGCTGCTCGGAGCTGTAGACAAATATCACTGGATTCCCATCTTCATTGAGTATCCGTCGTAAACGACTTATTCAAGGAATCATAGTCCTTCGTCGGCTTGATATCAATAATATCTTTGGTGAAGTCGTGCCGTAAAAAGACAGGATGCTGGATTTCGATGGTGCAATACCCTATATCAATATCATCTCGATCCGCCAAAATGGATGCTAGAGACCTATAATATACGGAGGGCCTCATTCTTTTAAAAGAAACTATTTTAGAATCAACGTTACTCCGTTCAATGAGAAGGGAAGATAAAACGTACGCAACGTATTCTGAGTTGATTCCCGATAGCACAACCTCGCCGGTCTTTACGTCAAATTCCACGGGCACTCCGTCGATACTCTTTATCGACACCTTTTGGCCGGCTCGTAAATCACCTTTCAACTGCTTCTGGATTTCCCGAAGAGCGCTTTTAGTAAACAGAGGAACCCCGTCATCATATGCCTTCTTGACAAAGGACTTGGCTTCATCACTTTCGACCTCAGTATCCTTTCTCCAGTCGATTTCGTTGCAGGGTCTAATGCGTCGACAACCAGCTATGAAATAATCCGTGTAGGAGGGTGAGATGTACCCAGGCTGATCAGAGGAAGAATCATCATCCTCCATGGTAAGACTTGGTAATAGTAACGGAAGAGAAATCAGGACTGTACACTGTTTCGAGCGAGTAGTATCCGGCTGGTTTGAAGCAAAGGGCTGCTTGGGTGTATCTTGACCAGGATTTCACCAGGAACAACTGTTATTGGCTTCTCCAAGAGCTAACTAGGCTGACATTTGTACTCAACGTTAGGTAGCATGATTCTGCATGCTATTCCGGAGAAGGCGTTATATTTACCACTGCTCAGCGCTCACCTCTCCTGTCACTGTTGAAGTTGATAATCGCATATTGAAGGACAACCACAAGCCAAAGCCTTCAATGTCTTTTTCTCGCCTTCTATACCCCGTCTGAGCCGTATGAGAATATCATCAGTCACTTATACGACGTTGTTCTTCTGCGTAGCTAGTTAGTCCCAGGGGCGATTCCTCCCGTCTCCTATGCGCTCTTCACGGCAGTCTCCTGGTCAACATTAGAGACCATTGAGGTGGCTCATCTTGGCCTGATCAGCATCACTGGCCTCTCTCTCTCTGCCATGAGTCACTCTGCGTCTTTCATCGCCCCTTTTCCCCTTGTTTATTCGCCTTCGTCGTCTTGTCATCGCTTTTTCGTGAAGATGAGTATTTTTGACTCATAGGGCTGTAATTACACGCAAAATACCAACATGAGATGTCATCCGCCACCCAAATAGCGTATTCCTCGTAACATACCCGTCACACACACGCTCCACCAGCAAAATTAACAAGCAACTTCGGCTTTTTCATTCGATCTTCATTTTCAGGTTCTTTGCTGCGAATTCAACAGCCTATTTATTGTCGCTTCTTCTCCCCTGGCCCGTCTGCATTTCTCCAGAATATCTTTAAAGTATACTGACAAGAGAAGTCGGCTTAACCAGTTGGCTGTCTGCTGGCTTTGAAGACACACGCTTGGCCGCACACCCCGCCTGCTTTCTTTTTCCCCTCCATCGAATATCAGAGCAAACACATCCCCGGAAGAGCTCCTGTATACAGCTCTGTTGGACGTCAAATATCAAAAGATCTTCAATAGCGAGTCGATAGCCTCTTCTTCGACCATTCCTTTACCTACAGTCACCGGATCTCAGCTTAATCAACACATCATGGCTGTTCGAGCGCAATTTGAGAACTCCAACGAGTCAGTTTGTTTCTTTCTATATTTTGTGTATCTCTTCTGTGGATCACGATACTGACTGTGGTGTATTATAGTGTGGGCGTGTTTGCGACATTGACGAATTCCTATGCCATAGTTGCTATTGGAGGATCGGAGAACTTTTATAGCATATTCGAATCCGAGTTGCAGGATGTCATACCCATCTGCCATGCCTCAATAGCAGGAACAAGGATCGTGGGCCGTTTGACAGCTGGGTAAGCCAGACAAAATCCTAATGCAGATCATAAACAGGGCCAACAGTACTAACTGTGCCTTAGAAACCGAAAGGGCCTTCTAGTGCCTACTACAACTACTGACCAGGAACTACAACACCTACGCAACTCGATTCCGGACAGTGTCAAGGTCCAGAGAACAGAAGAGAGACTTTCCGCCTTGGGGAACGTTATATGTTGTAACGACCATGTTGCTCTCGTACACCCTGATTTAGAGCGTGAAACGGAAGAAATGTGAGAATATCCGTCGGAAGTTTACGTTTTAGACACCACTGACCATTGTTCTTCGTTGTTATAGAATAGCAGATGTCCTCGGTGTAGAAGTATTCCGTCAGACTATTGCTGATAATGTCCTAACGGGCTCTTACATGGCTTTGTCAAACCAGGGTGGCATTGTCCATCCTAAGACATCGATACAAGACCAAGACGAACTTTCCTCCCTGCTACAAGTACCGCTTGTTGCCGGTAGTGTTAACCGTGGTTCCGCCGTCGTTGGTGCCGGGATGGTCGTTAACGACTGGCTAGCTATTACTGGACTAGACACTACCGCTACCGAGCTCAGTGTCATGGAAGGTGTGTTCAAACTCGGTGAAGGTGCAAGCGGTGCTGGAACAGCTACCAAGGAGACCATCGTGGAGAGTTTCTACTGATTTCGACTGCCACAATTTTACCCTCTAACTTCTCGTCCTACCTTTCAAGGAACAAAGCTGGCCACTGTCGGACTCGAAGCAAGGGTTTGGCCTGGCGGAAGTTTTGTTTGATCAATGACATTTATTATTACACAAACCTTGCTCACAGTTTCCTGTAAGCGAGACCTAACAAC